GGAGATACAGCCAGTCTGTGGAGTGTTAGAAGCTGGAAAATCCATGAAAACCTCACAAAAACATGTCTGCTCAGCATACCTGCTGCTGGGCCCCCATGTATCATAGGAATTTGCTTTGCAGGCAGGATTTGTAGATGTATTGCAAGCTGCACAGGTGGGTGTGTACATATTGTCTGTGTCATGATTACTGCTAAGTTGCCTGTCTGGGGTTCCTGCCAAATAAGCAAACTGTCATTCAACACAGTCTGGCTTTCATATTTAGGGTAAAAAAATGTCAAGGGCAATGTTTCCTCCAGTAGCCTCTTCAGTTTCACCTGAAACCTCTAAGCACTTGTTGCTACTCTGCAGGCACAGAAAGCAGCACTGGGTGCACGGGCTGAACTCCCAGCGTACAGAGGCTCAGCAGTGCCACTGCCTGCACCAGACAGAAATCCACAGCACTCGAGGGGGGTCTCTGTGGCAAGCACAATTCTCATAGAGGTGCACAAAGAAAGATGAAAGAGAAAACAATTTCTATTTCTGCTCCTTGTTTATCCCATGTGGAATGTGTTTGGAGAATTGCTTACCTGGAGTGAGTGCTTCATTGGATTCCGGTGAGGATTTTTTGAGCCTGATGGCCAATCCAATCCACCTGTAGCTGGACTCTCGAGAGAAGCTCATGAGTTGTGTTAGAGTTAGAGAAAGTAGCATGTAGTTTTAGTATCCTCCTTTTATATAGTATATTAATGTATTTTAGCATAGTTATAACAAAGAAATAATTCAGCCTTCTGAATAGAGTCAGACATTGTCATTTCTTCCCATTGGGCTCGCCTGCATTTACAATAGGTCTCCACTGACATTTCTGAGCCATTATTTCTGTTGTACTCCAGCAGGCTCTAACTGCGGATTCAGACCCTGGGCAGCTTCCACAGTCTGTCTTTGCATATTTGTAACATGCAACTAACTATCCTTTGTCTACATGTGTCTAGAAATTTGAGAATTGCAAAGGTCCTTGACACCAAAAACAGGTGCTAATCACCCTCCAGGTAAGTCTACATCACTGAAACTGTACTCTCTTACAGACCATGCCAAAGCTGAACTGAACAATGAACTCGTGACAAAGGGCAATGTTGGAATGGCCATGGCTTGGGTTGCTCCATCACTCAGAGTTTGGAGTTCTCTTCACATTTCCTCCAAACTGCAGATAGCTTTTTTTCTTCACGGTAGTGCTATTAACTGGCTAGCAGTTATTTTGTGCTGAAGGTCCTTTCATCAGTCTTGAGATAAAATAATATCTTCGATATGGGACAGTCTCCTTGCTGCTTAATAAATTAGCAAGTCTAGGCAGCAGGACTGCTTTTTGGCAGAATTTTCCATAAGTATAACACAGCTGGAAGTACAACTCTTCATGTTCCTTCTCATTACTACTATTAGCTTCCTCTTTCTTAGCCCAAAGGACATATTTAGTTTAATATTTCACTCCCATTTGCAACAGGCTGAAATTTATCTTCAAATGTGCCCAAAATTTACAGAGAATAATAATTGGACATGTATGATCTTGGAGAATCTAATCTTTTTGTCAGTGATAAAATGTGGCTCTGGGCACAAAATCCTTTTCTGCAATGAGATTTTCTTGTAAGCTTCACCAGTGATATTGGATGCTTGGAAACATTTGAGAAGCAGCTTGACCTTGTTGCATTCAAGCTGTGCTCACTGGATTTGGATGAAAATCTGCTTAGTATTTCACATACCCACTTTGAAGTTCTATCATGCCTATCACTATTTGGGTTGTTCAGGGGCAATATCACTGCAAGTTTGACCCTGGGTCCAAAACTGGCATGGCATAAATTCATCATCTTTTTACTAGGGGAGTTAAAGGCTGCAGGATGGATTTTGTGAGCTGCCTTTGAGCATGCACTGACCTGAGCTGTCAGAGTGTGCTCAGACATGTCTGGTTCCAAAGTATCTGGAGTGTTCCTCCTCCAGCAGGGTGAGATGTTGATTTGTATCTCTTTCTCCTGCAGGATCAGGACGCTCCTGCCCACCCTGTGTTTACTCAGCAGATGGGATCAGCACTACTCATCCAGGCAGTTCCTAAATCAATGGAACAGAGGATTAACAGCATATGGAGCATGCCCCATCCTCAGGCCTGGCATCTCCTGAGCAGTGTGTATAACCCTGGCTTTTTTCCAAACTCCTCCATTTATCATTGCTCCTGACTGAACTGTGGTGGCTGCTATTCTCTTTTATCAAAAGAATTTTCTATTGGGCAACGGAAGTAAAGCAAGCAAAGAATGAAAAGAAAAGCAGAAAACTTCCACCACTGAAAAGATGGAGAAATGGTTTTAAAATCACAGTGAATATCCAGGAAGTGTCCTGAGAGAGAAAAGGATGCAAAAGGTTGTGTCTGCCCTGGATGAGGTGGAACAACATACAATATATCAGTCTTATATTACTTCTCAATTCATTACTATAACCTCAAAAATAGGAATAAAAATTAGAAGTTCAAGCACATACGCTGCTATAGAAAAGCTGTTTCTGAAGCTGGAATTATTTGGGGTAATTTAGTTTGCTTGATTATGATAATTTTGGGATGTGTTTGACCCAGATAAAGAATGGATCACTTTAAATACGAGGTTAGCCCTCATGTTCAGGGGCAACTAATACTTCTGTAGAGGTAGATTAGTGTGTATAAATTATGTGTTCAAATTACTGAATTTCCTGAAATGCCATTGATTTTATACAAAGAAAATGTCTGTAAGAAGAATCTGCTGGTGTAGGTGGTTGTGCTTTCACTGTGATTTTTTAAGTCCAAAAGTTGTAATACACTGGAAGTCTACTCACAATGTCTAATTTCTTGTACACTATGTGTATCTGCATATGAGACTGAGGAAATGCTTACACAAGCAGAGTTCATGCTTCAAACAATTTTTTTTTTAGCTCTTGTATTTGCTAAGCAACACCAATTAACTCTTACTCAAAATACCATTCCCTCAAATAAAACTGCCGCTATTTGCAGTTGTGCCACACGGCTCAGGACACTGCTCTTGCCACAAAACTCATCCAGGAAAGGCTCCTGTTTGCACTGGACCCATGCAGGTGCCTTAACCTTCCCTGTCAACCTGTGTCTAACCAGTCTTAATGTCTAGAAATTTCCATCTGGTGTTATTGGTGTTTCTCCACCATGGTAACCAGCAATCTAAGAGCACACCTGGTCTCATACAGATCAGGAAGATTTTAAATCAAAATCTTGTCAGCCGTTTGGTACATAGTTAAGTGTTGCACCTCTTTTATCTTGTTTTTTATTAAAACAGGGGGACATGAAATGAAACTAAAATATAAATTCGCCCTTCCAGTGTCTTCCCCAAGTCTGCTACACCAGTGATATCCCTGCTGGCTTTGAACTGAGCTTCTAAGCCCAGAGTCTTTGATATGATCCTTGCCCTCTCAGTCATGCTGCTTCCTGGAGGAGCCCGTGTCCCTGATCTGCTGACAGCCAGATTGCTATTTTTTCTTCAGCATTGCACTGAGGGGAGAAGTGACATTATGCTGTTTGCAGTGGGTTTTTCTCCCCCACCCACCTCCCCTTTATAAAATTAATTATTAAATGTGATGCCAGGGACAAATTATTCTTGGGAGCTGAAAAACTGTGATCCCTCTAATAGGCTTGGATTATTTCCAGCTGGTTTTAAGCACCTTTCTCCATTAGCTGGAGAGGTGATTAGCATGAAGAGCCTCCTGAGTGAAGTGTCTTTTAGCATCTAAAGTCAGCTCTGGGGAGCAGGGCGGCCGAGCCTGGCGCCCGGCCCGCGGCAGCAGCTTGGCAGTGCCTGAGCCGAGGGCCCGCCCGTGTTCCCCGTTTCCCTAAAGCCAGGACGTGCCACCCGCGGGCTGTGCCAGGGACCCTGGCCAGGGACAGCGCAAGGAACCGGGGTTAGGAACCCTGCAGAGCTGTGCTCTGCGCTGGCTCACGCCCTCTCCTTTAGTCACAGAATCACGGAACCACCTGGGTCGGAAAAGATTTCTGAGACTATCGAGTCCAACCTGCGGCCCATCACCATCTTGTCAATTAGACCATGGAACCAAGTGCCGCGTCCAGTCTTTCTGTAAACACTTCCAGGAACGGCGACTCCCTGGACAGCCCCTTCGAATGTCTAATCACCCTTTCTATGAAGAGATTCTTCCGAATGTCGAAGCTAAGCTCCCCTGGAGCAGGCTGAGGCCGTTTTCCCCTGTCCTGCGGCTGGTTCCCGGGGAGCGGATCCTGGCCGCGCCCTCCTGTCAGGGAGTTGCGGAGTGCCCACGTCGCCCTGAGCCTCCTTCGCTCCAGCCGAGCTCTCCCGGCTCCCTCAGCAGCTCCTCCCCGCGCTGTGCTCCAGCCCCTTCCCCAGCTCCGTTCGCTTTCTCCGCGCTCGACTGCCCGAACTCGGCAGCGCTGCCCGAGCCCCGACCGAGAGCCGCCCGTGCTGCTCCAGGGCCGCTCCCGAGGGAGCGAAAACGCTCCAGGCAGCGCTCCAGGCGGTGCCGCGGCTGCGCCTCCTCGAGCGCCACCGCGACTCCCCCGGTTCGGGGCCGTATCACCGCCGGTTCGGGCCCGCGACACCCCCGGTTCGGGGCCGTATCACCCCCGGTTCGGGCCCGTATCACCCCCGGTTCGGGCCCGTGACACTCTCGGTTCGGGTCCGCATCACCGCCGGTGTCACCCGCACTGGGCGCTCCGGGACGGGGCCAGCGGGTGCGCAGCGCCCCCTCCCGGCAGCGCCGCCGCGGGCACTGCCTGCACGGGCCGCCGCTGCCGAGCCGGGCAGGATTCCCGTGGGGGAAATCCGTGTAATTTGCGCCGCGTGTTTTAATTGTTCTCTCTTTAATTACCGACTGCTCATAAACTAAAGACGGGCCGGCGAATAGGGCGGGCAGCGCCGCCGCCGCTCAGCGCGGTCCTCCCGCCCGCCGGGGGCGCTGCGGCCGCCCGGTCCCGCCCTGTCGCCGCTGCCCGAGCGGCGGTTCCCGTTCCGGGCGAGGCGGCGGCGCTGGCGCCGGGATGGATCGGGAGCTGCTGCGGCAGGCGCTGAACCACCACGGCCCCGCGCTGCTGTCGCTGCTCCGCGCCGAGCAGCACGACAACCCCGACTTCCGCGGGCTGCTGCCGCCGCCCGGGGCCGGCCCGGAGCCGCCCCGCGGGGCCCCGCCGGCCGCCTGGTGAGGGGCGCCGGGGCAGCGGCCGGGCGGGCCGGGAGGGGCCGCGGGGCGCGACTCACCGCGTTCTCCTTCCCCAGGAAAGAGAGGGCGAGCATCGACACCGAGATAAAGCGCTTCATCGCCAAGAAGGCGGATCTGCTGTTCGCGCACTCGTGGAAGCCCAACGGGCCGATCGAGGACAGCATCGAGGAGAATGAGGGTGTGTGAGGTGGTGGGTGGGGGTCACTCTGTGAGGACTTGAATTTGCAGTGTCTTTAAAAAGAGGCTTAAAATTTTTCATGTTGATTTTTATAGGCTATGCGTAAGATTCCTGTTAGCACAGAAAATCATATTTTCACGTGTTCTGCTGTTGTGAAATGTTGTGATCTCGGGGTGCAGCTTGGCCGTTGGTAACTGGCTGTGCCCTTGTTGCAGAGTGTTACGCTGTCATGCCGCCCCTGGAGAGGTTCTTGGAGGTGCCCAGGGAGGAGAGGAGAGAGCTGTTCTTCCGAGACATCCAGCGGGGCGATATCGTGATTGGGAGGATTACATCTATCCGTGAATTTGGCTTTTTCATGGTGTTGATTTGTCTGGGAAGTGGTGTCATACGGGAAATTGCAGATTTGGAAATCACTGTAAGACACAGCTTAGATCAATAGTTCATTTTTGACATTTGTTGCCTCTTGTGTTTCTTAATGGAGTGGACCGTGTAAAGGTGAAACAGCTTTGGGATGACGGGTAATGTCTGACTTTGTGGGCAGCTTGTGATACTTTGCTCAGCCAATGAACACATCTTGCGATGACCCGCATTATTGAGTTGAGAAGCTCATCATTTGTGGATGAGTGAATTTTCACTTGAACCAAGCCATATTTTAAGAATTGCAGTTCTGATGTGCATTAAGCTTAAAGCAGTCTTTTTTGGCTTGCTCTTGGGGAGGGAAGAAAACCCAACCCTGTGACATCATTTATGACATTCCTGCTCTGTTCTGTTGCAGGCCCTGTGTCCTCTGAGGGATGTGCCTCCTCAAAGCAACCATGGAGATCCTCTGTCTTACTATCAAACTGGAGACCTTATCCGAGGTGAGTAGCTGCAGAAGTTGTCAGGAATGGGTTTGCCTCAGGTTTGAGCCATTTCTGTAATTTTATCCCTCCCTGTATTATTTCTCCAGCTGTGCTCAAGGACGTTGACCGTTACCACGAGAAGCTGGCGGTGTCGCTTTACAGCTCAGCTCTTCCACCCAAGCTTTCCAGTACAAAGCTGGGTGTGATCACCTCTGATGACTTCCCACTGCATTATAAGTAAGGATGTGCTGTTTGGCTACACTTGCTGGCTGCAGTCAGGGTATCTGAAGAGCATCTCTGACAGGCTGACTGTCCCTTAAACTCCTCAGAGGGCTTTCTGATTAAATTGGCTGATCACATCCTCCTTGTTGTTCCTCCTTTTAGCATCCTTGTGTCTGGATATGTAGACGTGGTTGACTTTTTAGCTTTCCAAAAATACAAGGAAAGCAAAAGGCAGGGTGAGATATCTGTTGCTTTTGGACTGTGTTAACAAACAAATTTAAAAAAACCCAAAATCTTGGGAGACTGGAATATTAATTGTTAGCAATTTAAAAATCCCCTTAGAAAATGGGGACGCAGCTGTCTGTAGTATTTGTTGTGTTTTTGTATGTCCTGGCGATAGGGGGTGGTTGCCCAGATAGATTTCAGAAGCTCATTTGGGGTAAAGGACATAAGGGTTGGTACATGCCTACAGAAGAGAGAAGTTTGTGAGCACTAATACAGATAGCATATGGGCATTTTTATTCTAAACATAAGTGTGATTAAATAGGGTACAGAGCCTCAGGTCTCATTTGTGTGGATTGGTGCTGTTTTGAAGGCGAAGCCTGGAAGTTGCCAACACAGGAGAGACATTTGAAGAGGTTTTGCATCGTTCCCCAGGATTTGCTAATCCATCATTAGTTGAATATTTAGCAGAAAAACTGGGACTAAGTGAGTCAAATCCACCGTCTTTGCTGAGAAGTCTTCAAATGTAAGTGATTTTTACATTGTTCCTCTCCTGTAGCTCGGTGGAGATTATTCTAATCCATTGAAATAGACTTGTGAGTAGTAGTCCTAGACCATTTATACTTAAACCTTTTACATTTTGACTTGCATGACTGCAGTGTACATGTCCTTAAATATTTAAAAGCAAACTCCTCTAGAGTAAGAAATTTGCATTTGAAATCCTATTGCTCTGAATAAGCAAGACACCTTACCACACACAATGTTTGGTATCAGATACTTATGGAATTTATTGTGTAGCTGCTGTCAGCATCTGTATATTGAAATGTGGGATGCTTAGGTTTTACTGTATTCTGATATATGTTTATTCACAATGTTTATTTTACTAATAGGTTTGACCTCTTTTGTAAAATAAGAGTCACATATATGCAATGTTTGATGTTTTGACCCCTATTAGACTCAAAGCAGGTGTGGACTTTGTATGTTTTCATTAAATGTACTGCACTTCTAGAAAGTTTAGCACTTCTAGAATGGTTTGGGAAAAACTGGTTTCAGAAATATGAAAGAACACGCCTGACTGAGGGAGAGCAGTAAGGCATGGACAAATAATATTTCAGCTTATTTCAACTGCACTGCATACTGTAAGCTTAACTTTGTAGACTCAGACAGCCAACTTGATGTTTTTATTTATTTGTTCCTTACAGTAAAAATTTCAGTGAAGAAGATTTTGCCCCTGCATTGAGGAAACAGCAGTCTGCATCATGGGCCTTGAAATGGTATGTGATACTACTTCCTGTCAAAGCTTGTTGTTAGACTGGGTTGCAGATTATATTTCTGCAAAGAAAACACACATTGAAACAGTTTTTCTACTGCACATGTAGCAATGTAACCAGGATCTTATTGAAAATAAACCTGTCTGTCATGTGGGAATGTGAAAGATAAAATCCTGAGATTCGGTTCCAAATTGTGTGTCAGGTTTAAGGGAGTTGTTATTAGAATACTTTTAATATCCTGACCCATTCTAGAGTAGAGAGCAAAAGTTATGATAATTCCAAGTACACAACATTCTGTTTTATAATAATTGAGTGTTGAGTGACCTCATATTTATCAAGTCATTTAAGCCTCAGACTGGAGATGTAACAAGTGTACTTGCTGACTTTGGAAAGTTAAATGGAGCAGTAGCCCTGGGTATTTACTTTTGCTTTTACACTACACAGTGTATTTGCAATGTTAATTGCAGAAAAGGTTGCATGTAATGTTAAATTAAATTTTAATTTTTAAGAAAAGTCTGTAAATGAATTGATTTGAAAATCAACTTATATCAATTCTCTTCTAATAAGTTAATCTCTTGGAAAATGTGCAAGAAATGTTCAGGGAATATGAAATGTAAAATCTCAGGATATCTGTGTGAGGTGAGCTAGTTTGAGTGTGCACCATCTGCCCATATTGCCTTGTGCCATCGCTAATGGGGATTTTTAGATTTGGATATAATTAAGCCTGTTCAAGGTTAGTGATTGTAGGTCACACATAGTTTTATGTAGAAAATTGCTTAAACAATAATTCTATAAATGAAAAATAATACAGTAGCACTGTCATCAGAAATATTCTTGAGTGTCTTAAGATATTGGATTAAAGACAGTACATTTTTGTGGAATTAGGTCAGTATCACCTAACTGAAATGCCAGTGTAAAGTACACAATAACAAGGTCAGGTCTTAACCTGTCCTTTGTTTGCAATCATAATTTGCAAGTAACAGAACAATCTGCATAGACTAATTGTACATACTTTTTTCTAAATATTTTTTCTCCAGTGTAAAGGCTGGGGTGGATTATTTTAAGGTTGGGCGCCACGTGGAAGCCATGAATGAGTACAACAAGGCTTTGGAAATCGACCCACAAAATGTTGAAGCTTTGGTAGCACGTGGAGCTCTGTAAGTCTCCTTGTTTCACTTTTTTCCCCTTTTGTGAAAGAGAAGCATCACTGTTTCATATACAACTTTTTGTTGTTCTAGGTATGCAACCAAAGGAAGTCTGAACAAAGCCATAGGGGATTTTGAAGTTGCTTTAGAAAACTGTCCTACCCATAGAAATGCAAGGAAATATCTGTGTCAGACCCTTGTGGAAAGAGGCGGGCAGTAAGTGTTGGGGTTATGAGTTTGGTTGGTTGTTAACAAGTTTTCTCATAATATTTTTTTCATGCCATTCTAGTGAGGACACAAAATGGCATCTTTCCTTCATGGCTATGTGTTTAAAGAAAAAAAGAAGTCCTTGGAAACATCCGTCCTTGTGTAATTGGTTAACACTTTGTCCTCTGTCCCAGCTAAAATTCTGGCAAAATATTTGAGGTTTAATCCTCTATATCCTTTTAAATCCTTGATACCCTTTCACTGGTAGGATACCAGGCTTGCATAAAGTCCTGTGAATTGTTTGACTATATTCCAAAAGTTGAGGATTGGGGGTTTTTTTTAAGTTTTGTAACAAAATTGCATTCTGTTACTCTGCTGAAATATTGGTGACCCGCTCTAATGCAAAATTTTAGTTTTGAATATTTAGGGATAGGTTTCTTTTAAGCACTGTTTTAAGAAGAGAGAGAGACAGTATTTTTGAGACTGGAATTTATACTTCAAAGAATAATGTTACAGATCTGAATTAGGAGATGGTAAGGTTAGAAATACTGTTTTGTGTTGTTAGTGAGGTGAGCTGAGATGATAGAGGGGGTCTCAGAGGGATGCAATGGTAGTGTCATAGTGGTGATAAGAAATCCTTGCAAATAAGAAAGTTCTAAAAGAAGAGATAGCTGTCAAAATCTGTGTCCTAACTGTATATGAATTATCACTTGAATTTCAGGTTGGAAGAGGAAGAGAAACTGCTAAATGCTGAAAGTTACTATAAAAAAGCCTTGAGCTTGGATGAGACTTTTCAGGAAGCAGAAGAGGCCTTAACAAAACTCCATAAGCACATGCAGGTGATTCTTTACTTTCTTTTCATAAGGTGCTCTCAATGACAATAAATGAACATCAAAAATCATATTAAATCCTTTGAACTGGGAGGGGTTAAATTGATAGTTTGTCTTATTCTCTGCTTCCCTACTCCACAGTAAATGTTTTCTAGTGAGCATTATGGCTGTACCTACCAGAAGAAAGGTTCCTCTTGGTGCCCCACTGTTTTAGGATAGTAAAGAAATGCCAGACAGTGGAGACAGGGAAAGAGCAAAGCAGGGATAAGAATACCCCATCACACAGCATGATTGATGAGGTTAATTTAAAAGATTTTGTGAATACAAATGTTCAAAGTGTAAAACACTTCCAACAAGCCAAATAAACATTGTTACCATAGTCTGGCCAGACCATTGGTCTCTGAGGTAATTAGAGAGAGTAACAACAGGCAAAGCTAAAGCACAGGGACCTTGCATGAGAGGAAATTAAAAGGTAATTTAAAGGAAAACAGCAGGAGGTGGAGGGTGGGCGGGCAGACAGTTTGAATATCTCAGCTTTCTCCTCTGTTGTCTGGTGGGTTTTTTCTCTCTTCCCTTGCACGCAGCATGTTTCCCAGGTGAGCCTGCTGGGTCTCTGCTAATCTGAGTTGTCATCTTTTCCCTTTTATTTACTTCTTTTGCATGTGTTGTCTTCCAGAGTGGGTCAAAGAATAAAATAGAGCACTGAGGAACAGGCTTGTGTTGTTCTGTGCTGCTGCATGTGGGGATGTACAAAGGCTGGGGTAGATGGCCTTAGTCAGCAGTTCTTCAGTTGGTGGAGCCATAATGCTGACAGGATGTGGAAACAAGGGGGAAGAGGAGATGGGACAATCTGATAAAACTGAGCTACAGCACACATAAAGAGTGTAATTTGAGCAGTACCTAAATTTGGCTGCTTTAGAAAAAGGTATCAGTTAAAATGATGAAGAATATTCACAGCAAGTAGGAGATAAATGTCACTCCTTAGACATTCTGCTGCAGTCATTGATGCAGCAGATAAAGAATATGACTGTTGTTAATTGTTGCTATGCATGGCCTTGGCTGCAGTGAAGGGTTTCCTTTATTACAGATGTTAAGACAGTTGCTGAGCTTTGAAAACTATGAATCAGACTTCCTGCTCAGTCTGAACAGAGCAACTCTGTAGGGCTTTAAGTGGTAGAAGGATGATCTCTTATGGACTTAAATAGTTTAGTTATCTACTTAGGTGCCCTCCTGCATTTACCTGTAACTTAGTACATAATCTGACACTGTCCCTGCTGCGTAGAATGGCTGAAACAACTGCGGTGTTTTTTCCTGTAATACTGATTATGTGTTTTTCTCCAATGCATTTCCCTCTGAACGGAACTGTTGTTGCTGTGCCTGCGTCTGGTGCTGCTCATCACCACCAAACCCCTGGAACTTGATTTCTTACGTAAACTATGCATCAAACTGCTCTGTGAAATTGTTACCAAACGGTTTGTATTCAAACATGGCCAATTTGAATTCATCTTCAACTGGCCTCTGCCGTGTTTCTCTTGTAAACTACAACAATGATGACACTTTCCCTCAAACTCTTCTGTCTTTCTGTTGTTTGGGGGGTTTTGCCCTTATTTTTCTACACGTTGGTAATATTGGGGATTTTTTTGCATATTCTGCCTGTAACTTTTGGGCTCTATGCTTCTTGGTGTGCTGGATCACGGGTACCATTGCAATGACTGGTCAAATATATTTTTTAATGGAATAAAAACTGCAATATGGTCCTTAAATATAAACCTGTCACAATGGCCAATACCAAATTCCTGAATAATACTCATTTTTGATCTGGGAATCCTGGTAAAACATTTCTGGTGTATACATTTGGATGGGGTTGAATGGGGGTTAATACCCATGTTAACACTACTAATGTAATCTTTTTTATGATGCTTGGGTTCAAAAAAGAAATCTTTGGAAATGAGGGAGAAACAAGCTGCCAAAGAAGAGAGAGAGAAAGCAAAGAAAATAGAAACAAGTGCAGAAAAATTGCGTAAGCTCTTAAAAGAAGAAAAGAGGTAACTGTTACATTCAGTGTACTGGTTGTGTGGCATTAAGTGGAGATGAGACTGTGTGCAATCCATCTCAACAAACAGCAGGCTGGGGAGAACTTCTCCCTGGGTAAACTGCTTTTCCCTCAGAATGTTTCTGTGAAGTGTCCTTTAGTGCCTAGAGCCTTTAATAGAGATATGTGTGGAAGAGAAGTTGTTTAAGGAATACTTTGCAATGTGACATATTTGCAAAGTGTAATGCCACGCAAAATTGGGAAAGAGGTCTTTTATAACAAAATGTTCAGTGGATTTAATCTTAATTTGTTGATGAAGAATTGACATTTGAAATTGTCATGTCAGTCAGGCTCAGTTTCTGTTCCCACCTTACAGTCAAGATGGGGTATGCAGATTTACTTTCTATCTGTAGTTTTTGCCTGATACTGAAGGTTATCTCACAGGTTAATTATTTTTTTAGGTTGAAGAAGAAACGGAAAGTATCGACTTCCTCCTCCTCTTCTTCTTCATCCTCTTCCTCCTCCTCCTCATCATCATCAAGCGATTCATCATCAGATGTATCAGCTTCTTCTTCCTCCTCTTCCTCTGATCACAAGAAACGTAGGAAAAAGCGTCGGCATAGATCCGAGTCTGCTCACAGCTCCAGAAAAAGCTCATCTAGAGCTTCTTCCCATTATAAAGATCAGAATAGGAAAGAGGAGTGGTATTCCCCTCCAGCTGATACCTCTGCTTCCTTTCTTAACCAAAGTTTTGAAGTGGAAAAGCTGCTGGAAAGGCAGGACAGCATAGCGTGCCCAAAAATGGAGGTAAAAGAGAAAGACAGACACTGTTCTTTTTCGAGGACTTCAGGTGATGATGAAGACACTTGTGGAGGTAGGTCTGAAGATTCAAGAGATTCTTACAGTAGCTCCAGAAGTCAGCCAAGTCATAGCAAAACTGAAAAATACAGTAAGCCAGAGAGATACTTCTCCAGTTGGAGGGGTCCTTCAGGTTCGTATCATAAATCAGATTACAAACCCAGGATGCATTATTACAGGAGATTTGAAAGGGATGGGGAGTGGAGAAGGGAGCAGTTCAAGAGACATGGCTCAGGTCAAGACAGGTATTACATGTCCCCAGGGTCTGACTATTCTGGCAGGTCATGGGGGAAGTACAGGTCATATTCTAGCAGCTGCTCATATGAAGGTGAGAAAGATTATGATAGTGACAGGCGGCATAAAAATGAAAGCGAGTCTAAGAATAGAAAAATAAGTTATGAAGACACTGATAAAACAAAGGAAGAAGATGAAGAAGTGTCATTAAATGGTACAGAACAAGCAGAAAGTGGTGTTAAAAGAAACCTGCCTCAGAACTTGGTTAACATATTCAATCAGATAGCTGAGTTTGAGAGGGAAAAAGGAAGTAAGCAGAAGAAACAGTGAAGTATCTGAGAATACACTACTTGGATGAGTGTAGTTATGTGGATTTTAACTTAGTATCTTGAGGAAACACAGAGGCAGAATTTTTTCTGCATTTCAGATGTCAAAGAATTCTAAAAGATCATATGGTGGAAAGAGATGGAAGAATATCATACATAAAATATCAGTTATTTTAAAGACAAGTTTCCTGTGGTCTTAATTTGAGGTGTTCCTGTACAATATTTTGTCTGATGGGCTGAAATCCTTTGATACCCCTGGGTGTAGTTAGCTGTGCTCACATCAAGTATGCACTTTAACAACAGCTGGGTTTGGTTTTCCTTGTCCCTGAGGTACTATTGACTGTTGATATTCTTCTATCAAACTTAACTTCCAGCTATAGAAAAGGGATAACAGAATGAAGTAATGTGCCATCAATGTATATAGCCCATTTGATCATTAAATTTTCTTAATTTTTAATTTTTTTGTGTCTGTGTTTTTGTGAATGTTGCTGGGATGTTTCATCCTGGTGCTATTCCATGGAACCCTGCTGTGTCTGTCAAGGCAAGTATATTGCATATCCTCTTGAGAGTAATGTGAAAAAAAAAACCCAAAACCTCAACTTGAAGCAGAAGAGCAAGTTTTGCAACACCATTTATTGTCTAGGTAAGCTCAAGTGTGAACCCCTGGTTTGAGCTGTAGTGGGGATTTGCTTTACAATTGCTTGGAGGCAGCAGTTGTGTTGAAGAAAAGGTTACATGGGAGGTTTACAGGGAGATCTGCAAAGGTGAGTGGCAGAACCACACAGTGACAATTGTACTTCAGCTGCAAGTTTTCCAGGTAATTCCATGGGTATAAGTTAGTTGCAAAAATTAATAAATCTCAACTAGTGTGGCCTTCAAAAAATGACTTAAGACTTCTTGCGTTCAGAAATACCAGAGGTGCTGGCTCTGCTGCCTGGCTGTGAGCCAAGAGCTGCTGCTTCCTCAGGGGTGGGGATAGGCAAGGTCAGCTCCACCACTGTGGCTGGTGAAACCTGACTTGAGGCTGAAGTTTTTCTGCTGGGAACTCTGAAAGACAAAAATTTACTAATGAGGATACAGAAATTCCTGCATCAAACAGAGCTGCCAAGGTGGGCTCACCATGAAGCCACCCAGTAGCCATGTTCATTCCAGAAACCCCCTAAAAGATCTCTGTAGCCACAACCACTAAATGGCTTCAGTAACCACTGGGAATGTTGGATCAGCACAGCACAGGCTCTATTTGAGCATACATTGAACAGGGGAAGAAGGTACCAGTAAAAGCATCAGTACCTTTTCTGTTTAATTAGGAAGGGATGTTCACGCTACAAAGTGTAAACTGTGGCTCAAAATTGTCCTTTTATAACATCAAACCATTTTTTTTTTTAGCTAGACCACAGTAAACAAAAGTAATTGTAATTATTCTGTAATTATTGGGCTTTCTAAACTGTGATGGATGCTGAAGTAAAGTTCCTCATGTTCTAGAAGAATGTACTAAACTTAAAGGACAGAGAAAGGAGAAAATTTTTACAGTCTTCAGCAAAAAGAAAATTGAGGTGACCTTAAGAGTAAAGAATTCTTTCAGTTAGGGACTAATTTTGCTGATTTAAACTTGATCTTTAAAAAATCTGAAAGCAACCCAAGTGTTAGAACTTACCTGGTAGGAGGTAGTGAGCTCTGTGGGGACTGAGAAGTTTGACTACCAGTGGGAGAAGCAGCCACAGGAAGCTCTAAATTGTACTAGAAAAATTGGAAAGAAAAAGGTTGACCTGATGGTTGTATAATAGGATTGAGATATCAGGAGCACTTAAAAGTGCTTGGCATTGGAAGATGTTGAAAGCAAGTGAACACTTCTGTGTTTTCCCATATTGTGAGTTGTCCTTGAAAGACACTCAGTTATAGGCTGGAGCTCTCACTCAAGATTTTGGTGGCAGTCAAGTGGAAAGCTCACCTTGTCAAAGTACATTTTAAAGGCTGGAGCTAAATCAGGATTTGCTTCTAGAACATCAGCTATCACTTGGTTGACGGTTCTGTTGAAAGCTTTCAGTTCCCGAAGATGAATGTCTCTCTCTTCCAGTGTTTCTGCTCCACCTTCTCTCTGAGACTCAATTTCTCTGCATAGTTTGGAACACTTAACACAAATATTTTTAAACATTATTATAAATATTTTTAAACATTATTCTTAAGAAAATTTTCAGAAACCTGCTAAGTTTAACCCACAGAGATTAACCCACACTACTGTCTATAAAGTTAGAAGTTGTCATCAATAAACACACAAACCTGTTTCATAACCCTGTTTAGTTTTGGCTTCTGTTCTTCAATGTCTTTTTTCAGCTGCAAAATAAAAGCTTGTTTTTCCTTCTTTTGCTCTTTGAGGAGGGCCTGCTCCTTCTGTATTACATCAAAGTGTTGTTGCATGCTCTGCAAATTCATTTGAAAGTAGAATTAGTTTATAAAGCAGGTTTGGTATCCATTCACTTTTTGTATTTGTGGAAGGGTCTGTTGTCATTACTACTTGTTTCTAAATGTAGCTCAAGCAATTAGTTCTAATGTTAACTCAAAGCTTTCTGCCAGTCCAACTGTTTGGTGGATACAGACCTGGACAAAGAAACTCCCAGGTAATTTACATCTCTTTTAAAGGTACTGGTAATGAGGTTACAGGTTTGACTTTTCAGATATATCTCATACTGGCTACAAACTATTTACTTGGCACCCTACCAACTTACCAGTGCAAGCTATCCTGAAAAAAAACCCAATACTGTTTCCTGTAGAAGAGGCATACCTTTGACTGGAATGAATAAAATCAGCTCCATAAGGGCAGCTGGACTTTTAAATACATAAATTAATAAACAAAACTTTAAAAAATTAAAAGGCAGGAATGGGTTTGCTGTAACACCTGTTACATGCTAGGACTTACTCCCTGATGAAGATCTGTGTCCCTTTACCTTAAGAAATAACATCTCTGAAATAAGATCTACGTCCTGTGGTGGTAGAATAAGCAATAGGAATGATTATTGACTGTAGGCAGTGACTCAGGGCTTAGAACAATTATGTGGAATATGACCATGGGCCTTGCTTTTTCTGCCTAATAAAATTCTAACTGAAGTGTCATACATCAGAATTAAAATGATAATTGAAATGTCAATCAACAGAATTAATTGTTGCACTTTCTTAAGGTCCAAGTGGCTTTTTGATAACCAGAGGAACCATGAGTGAATCCTTGCTATGGAGCCTGAGAACACAAGTTCTTTTTTGCCTGCATTTAGTGCTCAGCCTGCTAAATTTCAAGTCAGCTAATTTAATCCTGTTAAACTGAGGCACCCTCAATGCTAATCAAACTGAATCTGTTCCAGAAAAATCCTGGGGTATAGATGCCAGAGGTCCCAAACTGTGTGGATTTTAATCGGTGGTGCTGGGCAGGATGGTACAATGGTGGTGTGTGCTGCACATGTGGCTGCTTTAGTGGCTGCCAGAACAGCAGCTGTCAGTGCATGTAGGATTCTGAAACTTCTAGCTGAATGTGACTAAACTCCTGAAGTTTTGGTGTGATTCGAGAAAATTCAAATAATCACTCACTTTTTGAAAGGGGATGTAGAACCTTCTAAAAATAATATCCTAATAAAAGAGCAGAAAAAAAATTGTAGCACAATTTCCTATTATTTCTCTAGGATGTCCTTCATAGATTTAGCTACATGTTGCAGTCTTGTCTGACTGAACTTTACTTGTATTTTACCTGGAGATTTTTCTGAAGTTCCTTGATCTGTCTTTGTTTGTATTTGTATTTTTCATCAGCATCCTTTTTGTCCTTTTCTAGTTTCAATTTTTCCTCAAGTTCTTCACCTGTGATCCCAAACAATGAAGCAGCATTATTGCTGTGCATACAACTCAATTTTCATTTGAAAATAACTGCATCTCAGAAGATTACTATATTGGTGTTGGCAGTATTTCAGTGTGTCAAGGTTTGAGGGGTTTTTAAATACTCTCCTACTAATTCCAAATCACTGTCAAAAAGTAACTGACTTCATGAGGGAGAACAATTTAAGAGCTACCGGTTCCAGAACCAGCAGAGGGCACAAAAGTTAAATAATAATTATTATTTAGAATTAAGTTCTATTTTCTATCTAATTTCTATTTCACATACTTGTCTCAGGGACTGCCTTGAAAGAGTTTTTGTAGTTTCTGTTCCAGTTTTTAAGTACACACAAACTGTTTTCCATAGCCATGATTTCTTTCTGAGCTTTGCAGATCTTTGCATCCAAATCATCACCTTCTTGCTTAAGGGCTTCCTTTTCCTGTGCAGCCTGAAAGCAAATCCACTATTTTAGGTGACTGCAGATATACTGAAAATATTAATTTTACAGAAAATATTTACTGTACAGCAATATTTAGGGGCTAAAACCACTTGAACTGAGATTTGGGTGCCTAGAGAACTGGAAGGAGGAGTTATTGACAGTATTGAAGTTCTTTGAGGCGTTTCATTATGTGTACCTGTATCTCTGCCTGAGCTCACTTAGTCCTGCCCAGCAGCATCCACATTTTGTGGACATCAAAATAAACAGATTCTTGTTCAAGAACCAGGGTATTGCATTTTGGATAAGGACTGATTTTCTCTTTTTTTCAGTGAAAAGCTGAAGTATACATAGGTGATTGGTAAGTGAAAGGGGAAAGCAGACATTCTTCAAGGTATAAACCCCATATGGCAAAATGAATACCTGGAAATAACTCTGACAGGTAGAAGAATTTAAGGTCCTGTGAGATTCCAATAAAGTTCTTTCCAGTTCATAGTGGATTATAACTTGACCACTAATTACTTTGTATTTTTAAATTAATGAGCACTGAAGTTTTCAAACTGCTCAGAATTAAGGCTCCATATAAATTCTTGTGAAATTACTGTATAATTTAAATAACCACTGGTGTCAGATAACATAAAGCAATTAGACTCAAAGTAGACAGTAGGCAAGGAGGTTGTCTAAGAGCCCAGGGAAATCTATAGTTTAAATAATTGAATTATAATGAATGATGTTAATAAAATACCTTAATTACATAGTAGGCCTGACTTTTCATCTCCTCTCCTTCAGGTGGCATCATGGAAAGAGTAAAAATTTCATATTTGCATTTCAGTTTATCAATTTTCCATAGGCGATCTTGAAATTCAGCACTGTTTGTTTAGGGAGAAAATACATGGGTTGAGAAAATGCTTGTCTGGTAGTGTTTTGTGGGCAGTTCTTGCTGCAGCAGTTTAAATTCCTAGTGTTATTCCAGCAGCCTGTACCAGGAATTGTACTGGACCTGCTACAGGTCTTGGTGGTTTTCTGTGCTCCCCCAGCCACAAACATCCCTTGTTCTGGTTACCTATGTGCCTTTTGAAGTTCTAAGTGGAGTCAAATCTGTTTTCACATCCCAGATCACTACATTCTGAGAGGCTGTGCCACAGTCCTTCCTCAAATTTGCGTTGCCAAA